CATGTGATTAGGAGATGTTTATGCAGGAAAGGGAGAATACTAGAGGGACTGTGAGCATGTCAAAGCATGCTCCATGTTACAGAGGGTGGGGATTACAATCACAAACATTGGGCTCACGCAAGAAAATAGGTCGATAATTCTATAAAGTGTTTAGCCCAATGGCCAACAGTACAAGTTAAATCTGTCTTGTCAGGAAGCAATTCAATATAAGTAAATAAAGATGAGGGATGAACACATATACCACTGAATTCCAGTTCACTTTTTAAAATGCAGGGACCAGGATGAAATTTTTTTTCTCCAACTGTTTGGGCTTCCAGATTTTGGAAAACAGATGAGCAAAATACCCAAAGAAGAAAAACTTGTGATGATTTCTAATTTTATTTTCCCAATTTAATTTAATTCCTAAATTAATGACATTCACTAGAAAATTATAGAAGTTTAGAATACACTTAAAATATGTACCACTTATCGTGCTTTTTACCGCAATTTGTTGGTAAAATAAACCTTATTGTCCAAGCCCATTTCATAATTTTTCATTAAGTAAATAATGAAAAAAAAGTAACAAATTCATTGCTTTCTCATTAATTCACAATCCCAGAGATTTCAGGTACTAAACAAGTAATGGAAGATCTTCTGGTTTATACCCTTAAGGAAAGTTTAATTTATTTTGAAATAGTGCTTCCTCAGTGCTCAAGAAAAAAAGATATCAGAACTTAGGAGAATGGGTCAATGTACACGTAATATAAGCCCACTGGATATGCTTCAGTGATTCCAATTTTCTGTTCTTAAATGTCATCAAATGGATGCCATCACTAACTATGATATGAATGGTATATATGTAAGAGCTTCTCAGTTTTATCTGGAACTTCCTGGAATTTCTTTTTTTTTTTTTTAAGATTTTATTTATTTGACAGACAGAGACCACAAGTAGGCAGAGAGACAGGCAGAGAGAGAGAGAGGGGAGGAAGCAGGCTCCCTGCTGAGCAGAGAGCCTGATGTGGGGCTCCATCCCAGGACCCTGGGATCATGTCCTGAGCCGAAGACAGAGGCTTTAACCCACTGAGCCACCTAGGTGCCCCACTTCTTGGCATTTCTAACAAATATACAATCTGTAAGCTACCTAGCATGTGAAATCACCTGAAGAAGAAATTGTTCTAAAAGTGTCCAGGAGCAATGTGCAGTATTCTCTAAATTGTTAAGTCTCACTCACAGTCTACTTAACTTCCGCAGGGTGCTGACTGGCCAAAGAGAGATACTCAGTCATATGCCGAGTTTATTTTGGATTGGCCAAAATGACAGGTCACGCTTGAATGAAAATTTATTGTCAGTTCCAAGGACTAGTGCTGATTGATCTAGTACCTCCCAAAGTTGAGAAATTTATCAATGGGGGGAAAAAATTAGGAACTCTATCTACCTACTTAAAAAAATATATTTAAGTATAAACACAAACTTTGCTTAGGACCTTCATTCAACTCTAAACCAAAAAATATTTCAAAAATCAAATGTACACAAAACTACAAAATCAGTAACATTTAAAATTAAAGTGAATTTAACTTGATAGATGATGCTGTTGTTGCTGATACTAAATTGCCTCTAGAAGTTAATAGGTATGGACAGCTATGGTTCTGGTTTCACTTTTTCTTTAGTTTGTTTTCTTTCTTTCTTTCTTTCTTTTTTTTTTTTTTTTTTAAGATTTTACTTACTGGGGCACCTGGGTGGCTCAGTGGGTTAAAGCCTCTGCCTTCAGCTCAGGTCATGATCTCAGGGTCCTGGAATTGAGCCCCGCTGCTCAGCGGGGAGCCTGCTTCCTCCTCTCTCTGCCTGCCTTTCTGCCTACTTGTGATCTCTGTCAAATAAATGAATAAAATCTTAAAAAAAAAAAAAGATTTTACTTACTTATTTGATAGAAAGAGATCACAAGTAGGCGTATTGCCAGGCAGTGGGAGAGGGAGAAGCAGGCTCCCTGCTGAGCAGAGAGCCCGATGTGGGATTCCATCCCAGAACTCTGGGATCATGATGTGAGCTGAAGGCAGATGCTTAACTGTCTGAACCACCCAGGAGCCCCTGTTTAACTAGTTTTCAAGTCCACTGTATTTCTAGGACTATAAGCCAAATGAGATTTCTGCTTTGCCACTTATTTCCTGTGTGACACTGGACAAGTTATCTAACTTCTCAGTTCCTCAATTTCTGCGTCTATAAATTGGAGATCACTTTATTACCATAGTAACAGACAAGACAAATAGCACTTTCAGTGCTTTACAGACACTAACTCATTTGATCCTCTCAACAATGTTATGAAGTCAGTACCAAGGAAAAGCTCAGGACAGTAACTTGCCCAAGGCCACATCACCAGCACATGATAGTGGTAGGATTCCAAATTAGACCTGCATGGTGAAGCACCCCATGTAGTCTCTCATCATGCTGTTGCTTAAAAATAATTCCTAGCTCATCAAGATCAAATGTATCAACACATGTAAAGTGCTAATAATTATGCCTGGATCATACCAACATTCAATAAAGGCTGACTAGTTTATTATTTTCTCACATCTCCCATTATTTTTCTTTGAGAGTACAGTGATGTCCCAAGGACCTTCATTTGACAAGACTGTATCACAGACTGAGTCCATCTCAGTTGTTTTCTCATGGCTTGGGCCAACGAAATTGGTGAACCACACTGTCTCAGCACGAAGGCAACCTGATGTACAATGTGGACCCAGAAATACCACAGCACTAACCAGACTAAACTCGACATTAATTCTCTTTTATATGATCTTTAAAATAAAAACTGGTGTATACCTAAGGAAATACCCAAGGATCCCCCCCATCTCTTCCAAAACCCACTTTATAAAACTGCTCAATTGTTTATAATTCGAAAAACTGATAGCTCTGGACTGTTTAAAAGCAGAATGTCCATTCCTGGTGGATTCTGAGTGGATCCTGTTTCCTTCTCCCAGCACAGTACCTGGCACACACAGCTGGGGCTCACATGTTCGCTGAACTGAATCCCAGAACCAAAGAGGGAGAGGAGAAATTACCCAGAGACCGGAAGAACAAAAGACTGCCTTGCCAAACAGTTCGGCCAGAACTGTGCTGAACAAACAACAAAAGCACCGAGTCCATGTCCCAGAGTTCTAGGCAAAGAAGACTTATGATAAATGTAGCTGTGACTGACTTAAAATTGTTGAGATCAGATGAGGTGGGCTCAGCTCATCAGCACTTGCTGGGTTCAAATCCGACTTTTTTTCTCTTTTACATTTAGACTTCCCTTGTCAGTATGAAGAATAAATCTGCCTTACTCTCTGGGGGGGCGGGGGGGGTGCAGATTTGAGCCTGACTGCTTCAAAGAAAGAGGACTGGAAACTGGGAAGCCCTTATGCTGCGATAACGCCTCTGTGCCATTCCAGGACAGATGTGGCTATCTCACCCCGGACCGTAAACCAACCACCTTAACTCTGTCCACAGTCCCCCATGCCCATCCCGGAGCGGTGACTGTGCAGGAGAAGCCATGCAGTCACGCGCTTGGCACCTGCCAGGTAACAGGACTCAGCAGGGAACTCCTATGGGACATCCACTCGGGGACTGAAGGAGAAACATGGCTTCTGGCTCGTCCCGGCGGCCTGTATTTCCCTGCCCAATACCCGAAGAGGCGGAAGTGGGATAGGCGTTGGGAGAGTGGAAGGGAAGGAGGGGAAGAGCGCGGGGAGAAGATCAAGCTGTGCTAAGTGCGCCGAAGGCTGTGGACGCCTAGCCACCTCGTCACTTCGCTGAGGGTTCCTGCGGAGGCGGGGGGCTTCTGGAAAGAAGCCGGGGAGGCCCGGGCGCAGAACCCTCCATGTGGCAAATTACAGACCTAGTTCTGTGTCCTTACAAAGAACCCTTCTCCTTATGAGTTCCCTCCACCCCCAGGCGGGGGCGGGGACAACTATGGGATCCAGATCTTTCGGCCTCCGGAAGTCGAAAGGGCCCTTTAGACACCCTTCTAAGAACCTGAGGCCACCGTCGCCAAGACTGACGGTGATCAAAATCAAGTTGAGAGTTTTGAAGAATGCGCATCGTGGGACCCACACGCAGAGGTCGCTCATTATCACCTGAGCTGGGGCCTGCATATGTCTATCTTTCCCAAAGCTGGTTTGGGAGACGAACCCCTGCAACCTCGGCTCTTGTCCCAGCACTGCTTCTTGCTCCCCTCCTCTCCGCCCCCGCAACCGGTCCCAGACTACCGAGGGAAATGCTATTTCCTGGTGCGAGGCCACCAACCTCGCAAAACCTCGGCGGAGGGTCAGCCCGGCCAGCGGCGCCTCCAGGGCTCCGCCACGCCCCCAGACCAAGCAGGCAGCGCTCCGTTGCAGCCCAGCACCCATACCTTTCCCGATGACTTCTAGCAGCTCCTTTTCTTCCTGGGTCAGCTCGCCTTTCGTTATATGAACCATTGCTCCCGCCAGCTTGAAGATGATTCTGTTTCTTTGGCGGTATTAAAAAGAAACTATGTATGTGTGTTAGGAATGCCAACCGCAGTGGGGCAACTCGAGACCAGGACGCTGAGTAGCCAAGCGCGGAAGCATTCGAATTCTCTCCTCCCTCCCGCAGGCTGGCGAGCAGCTGGCGAGCTCGGGCGAGCCGGGAGGTCTGTCGCTGCAAACCCAGCGACAGTCACCGCCCGCCCGCGCGTCATTGGCCAGGCCGGGAGGAGGAGCTACAGGAGGCGGCAGCGAGAGACTCCCATTGGAGCAGCCTGGCAAGGAAAAACCCAATGGAGAAAATCAAAGGGGGGAATTAAATTCCTCTTCCACGTTCTCCACCCCCCCGTGCAGCTCTTTTCAATATTTAGACACAGGCAATATTTAAATTCTCTTTTCAGAAGTTCTGGGTCCGTCCATGGCTGCTCGACGCGTGCAGAGATCCTTGACTGCCTTTAGAAGCCCCCATCGTTTCCCCAGGAGTGGCGCAGCCCGGGCCGGGGGCGGGCTGGGAGGCGGGGCTACGCGGGAGGCGGGGCTGCGCCGGGCTCTGTGGGTCGATGTCAATGTGTCTGTCCTTCACTCCTCCATTGTCTGCCGCCTCCACTGCCGCGGGTGCCACCGCCGCTGCCGGAATCGCCGCAGCCTGCAGCCTCGCGCGTCGCCGCTACCTCCTCGGACAGGTGAGAAGCAACCCAGGTGGGACAGGGGAGACCTGGAAGGCTGCGGGAAGCGCGGCCGCCGCCCCGCCGGGGGCTTCCATCCGGGCTGGAGCTGGCGGGCAGGAAGCATGTGCCTCCTGGGGCGGCTTCCTGTCCCCCGGTGGGGAAGCCTGCTGTCTACCCCACTACCATCGCATATACCGTGTCAGTACCCCAGATGGAAGAGTCGCCACTTGCCACATTTGGCCGCCCGGGGAGACCCCGGGACAGCGAGCCGGCGGGGGCGGGCCACGCGGTGGGAAGCGGCGGGTGCCTGTCGTCTCGTGCGTGGCACCGCCAGATGCAGCTCCCCAGAGGCCGGGGCTGGGGCTTTGGGCTAGGGGTGGGATGGGGAGGAGAGCTCCCCGGTGCGAGAGAGCTGAGCGCATCATGAGAATAGTCTCTGAAGAAGATAGTTCTCTTTTGGCAAGCCTCGACCGCCACCCCCCCCAACCCCGTCCAAAACACACACACTACTTGTCATCTCCTCTGGCGTCTGTGGAAGCCGGAGAAGAAAACCGGATCTGATCGCCCTATGGTGCCTGTTAAGGATGTTTGGAAGCAATTTACACTTAAACTAATACTTCGTTTATGAGAGATGGCCTGGAGGGAAGGGGGAAGGAAGGGCCTCTGCTTTGCTGGAGTTCCCAGTCTCTTTGTAACTCAGATCTTGAGATTTATGGAAATAGGGAGGGGAGGGGAAGGGGGCGGAGATTAAATTGGTGTTGCTGTCTATATATAGCCTTAGATTAGCCTCTTAATCCAACCTTCATTCAACTGTAATATGTTGCCTCGAGCTTTGAGCTAACACCTAGGTAGCTAGGGGGTAAATACAAGTGTGTACCCTCCTGTGGCTCAGAAGCAAGACTTGCTGGCTAATATGAAGTCGGTCATTCCTCCAGGGCGCGCATCCTTAACATATTCACGGCCTCAATGAAAGCTTCTTTAGAAATTAGTGTTTATGTGTTACTGTTGTTTCTCTATGGACTACTATTGATTTTTCTTCCTAGACCCATCTACTTCAAAGAGAAATATTTGAATAATCGTCTAGACTTTTTTGTTAAGCATCCCCACCACCCACTTTCTCCCCACAGTACCCTATGTGAAATGAAATGCATTTTCTTCTGGCCTCATGCCTTCCATTTCTTTCTTTCTTTTTCTTTCTTTCTTTCTTTCTTTCTCTCTCTCTTTCTCTTTTTCATCTTTCTTTCTTTCTTCCTTTTTTTTCCTTAAGCATTCACCAACACTTCTGAAAGATGTTGGAAGATGTTCATAATTATTTCCTGCATTTAACAAAATCTTTTCTAAACTCCAGCTGTTTTCTTTTTAAGGCTTCATCTTTACAGGCTGGGGCAGATCTGAGCCAGAATATCTCACATGAAAATACTTTGTAATTATTCATCTCAATGTATAACAAAGAAACTGTTGTTTGATGATGCATTTAATAATGATGTGCCTTGTTCGAACAACAAGTAGTAAGGCTTTTGAGAGTGACCCATCTTTTGTAACACTTAAAATGCTATTACTGCCACAGTTAAAATTGATTTAAAACACAGTATCCCCTCCTGGCCGCAGAAGAAACACACAAACCTAAGAAAATGCTTGCAGAGTAACCTCCTAGCATGTGACTGAACATCTTACGGTGGATGTGTGTCCAGAATTGGGTACTTCACTGCCAGTATTTCCATCTACTGTGCCAGATTGGGGCCATGGTTACTTGAAGGTCACACCTGTTTGTCTCACTGAAGTTGTTAGTTCCTTGAGGATAGCAGCTTATTACCTATTTTCTTGGTGCTTATTGGCATGTGGTTGGTATTTAGTCCTCTGAATACATGACCTCAGTAAATTTGGTCAGTGCCATTTAAAGACAAAAACTAACATCTGTGAAGAAATGCAGATTAAATAATAAGTTGTTTAAATTCCTAGAAACAGATGTGTAATGGATAGCATTCATCAGATGGATTACATTAATCATTTTGTACAGGGTAAATACCTAATGTAAGAATCAGATTAAGTAATGAGCATACCTTAAACTTGATCAAGGAACTTTTCTTGTACTAAGAATTTATTCATGTCAAAGAAGTTTTATTGGTAATAAAATAGCTACCACCCACTTACAGAGTATTTAATTTGTGCCAGATATTCTAACAGATGCTTTCTATGGGATTAAATTTAACCATGTTTTAATGACCTGAGGTAGCCAGTGTAATCTCTGTTGTGGCAAATAAGAGGACAGAAACTAAAAGAACTTAATAAATTTGCCCACTGCCCCACAGTTAGGAAGTGTCAGAGCCAGAACTGGAACTGAGATCTGTCTCCCAAACCTTTTCTCTTTTTACTGTTTTCCACCTATGTGGCTGGCAGTAAGGGGGAAATTATATATTCTTTCAACTAGCTAATAGATAACATATTCATGTGATTTCAGCATGCCAGAGATACAAAAGTCTCTTTCCTACCTCTTTTCCCTGTCTTTTCTCCTGGGTTGCCCTGCAGTCATTGGTTATCTGTTTCTCTCCTATCCTTCTTGAGATATTTAATGTGTTTATAGCTTATATGTATATTCTCACTTTTTGACAGAACTTGGAGCATACAAACACACTGTTCCACACTGCATAATAAAATTTGCATGATGCTTTGGTCTCTCTTCTGTTTCTTTTGTCACCTTTTAAAAAATAATGTTTCTGAAATGTCTGAAATTTTTATGTCTCCTCCCCTCCTGGCCCATTGCTGCGGATTCCTAAGTAGCCTGCTTCTCTCTCATCTCACCCCATGCAGCTAGTTAAAGATGCCACCAGTTCAATAAACCTGGAGCACCCATCATCCACCCAAGAAGGAGACATACTCTGTAAAGACAGAATTGATTCACTTAAAACATGTCAATAGCTTTCCACTGGCCACAGAACAGAGGCCCAGTTCTTGCTTGGAAGGCTCCAACTTCTGGTCCCAGCCTGCATTTCCAGTCAGCCAGCCCCTCCCACACACTCTAAGGTCACCACACTGCTGGTTCCCTCACATGCCAGTAATTTCCACCCCGTTGTTCCTGTTTTTCTCTTCCTGGAATGCCCTCCCTTCCTTCGCCACTAAGTCTCCTGTCTCCTCTTCACATCTGATGGACTGCTTAGCTTTCAGAATACCACTTATTTTCATGATCACCTCTCCCACCTTATCCAGTGAGGGCATTACGGATGCTAGCAAACACATTTCTTCTTATGTTTGAGGGGGATGAGTAAAATCTTGAAACGGGAGTCACTGGTACCATTATTGGCATGCCCTAAGTCTCTCCTACCTTCTTAGGTGCCCTAAGGCCTCCCCATCCCAATCATTGCTTCTTCATCTGGCTCCCCATGAAAATACCTGAAGCAGGTACCTTTTCATGACATTCTATTATAGTTCTTATTAACCTGTTTGACCCCATCTCCTTCTCAACTCTGAATTAACTAGGACTAACTTACCCTTGTTTCTCAAAATCATACATATCCCAGCGTCTGGCACCTCATGGCTTCTCAAAATCATATCCCAGCGTCTGGCACCTCGTATGTACTCCGTGCTTGCTGATTTGAATTGAGTTTGATCTCTAAGTTATTTTAGGTGGATTTGTTTCTGTACTCGAGTAATCCTTCCTGGCAATTTGTAGTGATGTGGCACTGAGCATACACAGCCATAATCAAGGGCAGAAGGTCTTGAAATGTTTTGCTCTCAAGGTTCTTGACATTCTGATTGATGAATCCTGTCAACCAAGAAAAAAAAGTGTTGATACGCACATGTTACAGATTTTGCATACCATTCCTGGATTTCCCCCATTAAATCCCCAGACCTCCAACTCTCTGCTTTTAGAGACTGCTGTTTCCTTTTTGTTGCAGGGGAAGAGCTTGTTTTTGAGCATTGTATCTTTCTGGGTAATGTTTCCTTGACATTTGATTTTCTTTTCTTAGGTACATTTTTTGACTGAGAGAATATTTGATGCTTTCACGGAACTTTATTTTCTTTTACATTTGAAAAAAAAAAAAACTATTGTAGATATATGTATGTGTTTTTAAAGATCCCTCCTTGTCTTTTAGAGATATGTACGGAACTATTTAAGGAGGGAATTGTATGGCATCTGAGATTTGCTTCAATATAATTCTGGGACCATGGGGGACAAACAGTGAGTTTAAGAGTATTAATAAGGAAATTGACTTGTTAACACTTGAAGCCGGGTGATGAATACATTGACTTCATTATACTCTCTACTTTTGTGTATGTTTCAAATTTTCCATAATGAAGTTTTTAAAAGGAGAGTTTGGAAGTATTACAGCCTCTAAAAATTGTTGTTTAACAAAGCAGAAGAATACTAGGAATACAAATGTTCTTTCTCTACGCTCAGAGTTTAGCTTATGCAATTATTCATTTAATGTTAAAACAGTTGCACCTCAAATCTGCAAAGGACTATCTTGTGAACAACGCATTTCCATAAACTGTTCATATCACATTTTAGCTTCTCCACAAAACTGAAAGGTAGGTGGCATTGCTCAGTGCTTGTGTCCCAGGCTTATGAATATCTCCCTGGAAGCTAATTTTCATCTTTTTTGAAAAATGACAAAGTAATTTGCAGACAAGTCTGAACAAAGGGTACAAATATATTTAATTTAAATGAAAAAAAACCAAGATGTGAATCAAGTGGAGATACTGGTTTTCTTCTATGTCTCATAAACCATTTCCCAAAAATGAAGTACCAAAACTCTTGTGAGCAATATTAGCATTGTTAGGACAAGTATATTAAAGAAAGAGGAGAAGGGCCAGACTCAGAACTTGTGCCTGCAAGATTCTTACTCAGGGTTTGCTTAACGGCATGCTTATTTTCACATTTACTTCTTGGATTCTTAACAACTTTGTAACTTAAGGTTTCCTGATGTTTGTTTCTTTTCTTATGTTTTGGACTTTTTAAATGTTAATGTTTCCCAAGGCCAACATGGAGATTGCTTGTATCATTTTTAACATGTCTT